GAAATAAGAAATATGAAACAAATAAAATAAAAACACATACAAAGCAGAACACAGCTAAATGTATCAAAAGTATGTCTACGTAATGCTTTTTCTGAGACAATGAATTTTGGTTTTTCATTTTTTCCCTGTAAGAGGTTTTTATTTAATAGAATTTTTGGACAAAAAAATCGCAATATATCGCCTTGCTTATAGTATCGCAATATATCGGGATATATCGTATCGTGACCCCTCTGTCATGATATGTATCGTATTACCAAATTCTTGCCAATACACAACCCTAGTCATCTATACCCGTTTCTTCCTTTCAGGGTCATTGGTGCCAATATCCAGCAGTCACAGTGCGAGGGGCGGGGTAAACCCTGGACAGGTCTCAAGTCCATCACAGAGACAAACAACCATTCACTCTCACCTAGGGACAATTTAGAGTTATCAGTTAACCTGACAGTCATGTTTTTGGTCTGTGGGAGGAAGCTGGAGTGCCCAGAGAGAACCCACATATGCACAGAGAGAACATGCAAACTCTACCCAGAAAGGTCCCCAGGCCGGGATTTGAACTGGCGACCTTCTTGCTGAGAGGCTTCAACTCTACCAACTGAGCCACCGTGCCGCCTCGCCTTGATACGAGACAGACATCACAGAACAAATAATTTGCGGTTCACTTCAGCCCTGAGATCTGCTCCACACCTTTTGGTTCGACGCTGCTGCGTTTATTTCTGAACATGTACATGTGAGCGGGACCTGGCCGCCTTCGCCTGTCATTTCATCAACAAACTGACAAGGGAGCTTAAAGCCGGACCGGTCTGTGCAGCAATTTTGCACAATTGCCTTGTGAAAGAGGCATTAGATTAGTCACCTATCAATTAGTCATTGGTTGCAGCCTTGGTGGTCTCCTGGTGAGTGGTAAATTTTAAATTAAAAAAAATGGTGTGATTAAAAAGCTTTGATGAAAAGAGTAATCCTGATGTATTTTCATTTTCATTGCTTTTATAAACAATAAAAATAAACAGAAAAAGACAAAACCAAAATGAGAATAGACTTACGATATTTTTCCAAATGGAGCAAACGCTGCTTTTATGTCATCTGTGGTGATTTCAGGACTTAAATCTCCAACAAAAACATGGAAGTGACCTAAACAGAAAAGTTTTTGTTTTCACAAAAATGACTTATTTAAAAAAAATTTAAGTAACACTACTTCCTATAATTCCTGTTTGTGCATACACTGAAACTCTACAATATTCTGGTCACAAACAGGAGGATTTTTTACTTGAGCAGCTCCAAAATAATACATTCAACAACTGAGCATTTACTAAATACACCAGTTAGGAAATTAAACAATTTATTTAAACAGTGCAACCTTTATAAGTTTACAGTGCACTAGTGGACTAAGCAAACAGCCCTTATATTAAATATCACTGTATCACATTGCATTCACCAAATATCAACTCAACATTAAATACTTTGTCTGAAATATGAACTTTGAACACTGCGCCAACTTAATAATAGTCTTAATAAAAATATGAATTTACTTTTACTATTAACAATAAGTCAACTCTACAAAACTCAATGTGCAAACCTAAAACTTTTATATTACCTATTTACTTACCCAACTTCTAACATAAAAATCACATTGTTTTCTAGTCCATAAATATGAAATTACAGCATTTAGATTTTTTATGTAATAGTTAAAATTATTCAATGGACAGAGTGCTTTCAATTAATGCACCCTCAAACCCCACATACATAAAAACAAGCAACTGAAGCATAAAGTGCATAAATCAAACACAATGGATGTAGTAATACTCCTTAAATTGCAGCAGGGTCTGTGTAATGTGTAGACTACATGAACCGCTGTAAAGAATTGAGCTGTTCTTAGAATAAATCTTAGCTGCAGTCAGACTAGTTCATAAATCATGTCTGTGGCTCAAGACGTCATCCACAACAGGTAAGACACTGTTTTACTAGAATAGTTACTAGACACAAAAAGAGTTAACAGCTGATAAGGCTGTTGTGTTGACATTATGACCTGATAACGTTTGTCAAGTCAGTACATTTCAGCCAACAACAGACTGGGTCTCTGTGACACCGGTATTTAGAGGGTCAGAACCTGAAAAGTACTGAGAACCACTGTTGTACATTTGTGAACTAGAAAACAGCACAACCAAAGTGTTGAGACAACAACTGTTGTGCAGGTGCAGATGAACTTACTGCTCGTGTCTTTCTTTTGGCTCGTTGGCGTTGTGGCCCAGTTAACCTTCACCTCCTGCAACACAGGCAGACGAAGAGAGCAAAGAAGATAAAAAATGGTGAGATGTGAAAAGTGACTGTAAGAGGGAGGAGTCTTTTTTTCCTCTGTTGTTTTGTCACACACCAGCTTTACTTAGGTCATACTTTGTGATTGAGTACTTTTTAATAAGATGGCCTCTGAAAGCAACATCTTTGGTTTTTAAAGCAACACAAACTGATTCTTAGCTATTTTTACATACCTCTGAATTAATCAAGACAGTAAAACACAGTGGAGTACAAAAAATGGATATCAAGATTTCTCCTTTATAATCAGGAATATTTTATTTTGATCTAGTAATAATTTGGAGTAAAACTGTAGGAAGTAAGGTCCAAATAACAAGGGACTTACAAACAAGTGATTTTTACGAACTTGTTATACTCCTCAAATGGTCCTTCAATACCTGTTGAGGATAAAATATTTTCAACTGAATGTAATTTTTCTTGAAGTTGCTCTTATGTGGATTCTATGTGGAAATAACTTTGCAAAAAGAACACACAGCAGTAAAAATGTACGGGGACAAAACAGCATTAATTCAGTATATCAAAGAATGTTACATGTTGCATGAGAACATGGCAGGGCTACATTAAACTGATTCATACACACATGGAAGCTCAATCAAGAGAAATCATCATTAAAACAGACACAGCATGGAGCATGAAGTGACAAAGTAACCAAAAAAAACAACATTTCTAATATGTAATTTAAAGTTAGAATTCAATTCCTGTACTATGTTAAAAAACAAAATACTACAAGTTATTTTTAGCCCATCTATTTTGACAGCTGTCTCAGAAACAGGAACTACACAGTCGAGAACTTAACCTTGAACAGTAGTTTGCAACAACAAGTGGTGATTTATGTATATCATGTTATGTATATCATTAATGTGTGTATGCCAAAGAAAGTGTCCACCGTTTTTTAACATTTGTTGCAGATTAAAACTTGCAGATTGATAATTTAGTTTGACCTTAAGACTAAATTTGCTCTTGAACTGAAAAAGTATTGTAAATAATTACTGAAGTGACTTCATTTAAGCATTAAGATCCAAGTCTTTCACATTATTGGGTCAATATAGTCAGCTGAGTACAATGTTAAAGTGTCACCCTAAAAATATGCAGCTCCTTTAAAAAATTGACAGGTAAACAATGCTCATCTATTAGTAGGGGGTTATCATTTTTTAAATACATCTCAATGCAAACTCAAATAATTTCAAATTAATCAGAAGTTTGTTTTTTAATAACTTATTAAAAGGGGCAACATCATTCCCTCATCAAAAACATGCCCAGAGTCCTGCTTTGACTCATTCATGTTTGAGAAACCCTGTAGTGTCCTGAGGCAATCATCCAGGAGAGCAAAAACAACCGGATGGCCCTAGAACCTCCTTTTAGGATTAGCTCCTCCTCTGGGCGGAGCTTCCTCATCACATAGCACACCTCCCCAACGCCCCGGCCCGCCCCAAGACTCGTGCATGCTATCAGCAGCAACAACTAGCAAACACCCGGTGAAAACCATGTCTGCTGAGCTCCCAGTACTACTTTTCAGTCTGGTCCTTTTCAGATTTAAAAAATGCCTTTGAGGAAATGGATTTCTGAATAGCAGGGATGACACAGTTCTTAAAAAATGGTTTGACTTCACTTTTGGAAGCAACCTTAGGATGAAAAAATTTATATATACACACACACACACATGTGCGAGCCACTTTATGGATAATAGCTTTCTGAACAAAAGGGAATTTCAGAGTGGATAAATAACAGGATCACTAAAGATGGAGTAATTCCAACACTAAGAAGGACACAAAAACAGTTGTCACCTGCCCAGGTAAGCTGAAAAAACAACTCACGTTGTTTTGTTCATGTAATTGTTTGGTCTACCTGTGATCTACGATTAGCATTTGTAACTTTATTATGGTCTGTGTTCTTTAGTTGTGTGTGTGAAAGGAGACTATCTTGGAGATACCAAGCTGAAACTATGCCTCGGTACTCGCTCTGGTTCTTCAAAAAACATACTTTCTGGTATGACGATAAGGTTCAACTGTATCCTGAGTTTATATTTTCCAAAACCAGTACTGTATAATGTTGCTGCTTTTTTATTTTCATTACAAAAAATAGGCTATGACTAGGGCTGGGTATCGATTCAGATTTCCCAAATCAATTTGATTTGATTCACGATTCAGTTTGATTGATTTTAAAATTAGTTAAGGATATCATGCAGTAACACATTTACTTTGATAGAGAAGACGTTCTAAGAGGAACTAATTCTGCAAACAGTAGAAACCATTGTTAACTTGGTGCGTTGGTAAAATTATAAACATTAAGGGCAAACTTGTAAATTGGAGTTTAATCTTGAAACAAAACTGTCAAGTTTCAAAGGGTTTAAACTAGAAAGGAACTGTTGTTGGATACATTTTTTTTAAGAAACTAAGAATACCGTATTTTTCGGACTATAAGCCGCGACTTTTTTCCTGAACTTTGAACCATGCGGCTTATAGTCCGGTGCGGCTTATACATGGATTTTTTTTCTTCAGCCACCAGGGGGCTCTTATGCTCCATTTGCTTCAACCACTCGCTTCAAAAATAAAAAAAAAGGAAAGAAAAAAAAGAAACAAGTGATCCTTCCAGAGCCGACTGTTGACCAGGAAGCAGCGATTTAAAGATAGTCAATGGCCAAAAACTCATAAAAGGGGATAAAACAGACATTTTTCACGGTGGAATCTGACTGATAAAAACTTTGGAGCTTAATCCAGGACCAGTTTGTGGATAAACGTCGAGTGAAGAGCTGCTGACTTTTTTTTCCTCATTCCACCCGGGGAAGGAATCCCATGCAGTGACGTATGCATGCTGCAGTGGGAGGGCTTTCCCACCACAGCTTCAGAGCCAGCATTACCCCGGGAGGACAGCGAC